TGTATACTCAAAGAGGTGAGAAATGTAGGAGAGAGTGGACTGTCATTGCTTGTAAGGATTACGGACACCACCTATCTCCACATTGGTATGATATTGTCCACTTTGGGCCTAAGCCCTCATAGATCTGCTCTTGGGTTATACCCAAAAGGCCTCATACCAATGGAGATATTTGTTCATCCTTATATACCCTTGATCCTCCCCATTTCTAACCAATGTGGGATTTTGGTCGCATACCCAACAGAATCGATGTCAAAAATTACTTAATGATAACATTGAAGAAATCCTAGCTAATTGTTTTCGACGAGGATGGAAAAAAAATACAACGACATAAGATAGCTCCTGTGCAGATTAAATTGAGGTGGAGAATGGTGAGGAATAATGGTAAGAAACAATTTTTGTAGGGCGTGTGTTTTGTAATGTAGTGTAATGTATTATGTTTTTTAAAAGTGTTTTTTAATTGAAATTATATTACAATAATTTATTTAAATTTATTTATTCATGATATTAGCCAATTAAAATTCACAAAAACATCTCAAAAATATTAAATTAATGAATTTTTAAATAAAAAATAATTTAAAAAATAAATGAAATCACATTACTAAATAAAGATCTTTGATAGAAACTCTAGGATGGTTAGGTGAATAAAAGAGGAAATAGGAGCCTAACATGAAACGGGCCGGTATAGGCATCAAAAGGTAGCAGCAAAGGTGAACAAAATGAACAAAGAGAGTTTTCGATAGATATTGTAAATTTATTACCGCAAGGCTCGTGGTGCCCGCCAACTTGCATCGAGAGAGTGACAAACGTATCAATTCTTTCCTTTGCCACCTCCAGCTTCAAAGTCTAGTCAAGGGACAAGTGTTTGAAATTAAGGATTATTAGCGAGTCTGGATATATATATATATATATATTTGTTTTTATGTGTTAAAAATATATATTTTTAAAATAATTATTTTTTAACTTTTTTCTTTACTTCAAAATTAATATTTTTTATATTTTTAGTTATTTTAATGTTCTGATATTAAAAATAATTTTTAAAAAATAAAAAATATTATTTTAGTATATTTTTAAATATTTTTTTTTAAAAACAACAATTACTACACAAATACTGTTTTACTCATCCATCTATTATTAAGGAAGGGATTATTGCAAGATCGGAGGTTGGTTAACCACCCTGGTGGCTGTGGAAAAATCCCCCTTGTCAAATTCCATGCAGAGCTCCTTCCAACACACAATTGCCACCGTGGATAGCAATAAAGTTTTCCTATCGACTAATTCAATAAAATGGAGCTGGAAAAATCTTCAATAATATATCGTTATTGAAATAAAAAATCTTATTTGTTGAAGAATATTTTTTTAAAAAATATATATATTAAAAATAATTTTTTATATTATCATATAAAAAATATTAATTTAATATTTTTTTAAAGTAAAACACAATTCCAAATATAAATTGTAGCCAAACCACGCAACCAGATTTTCAACTCTTCGGAAGACCCCATCATCCGAGGGCGGGTTTTTT